ACAACAAAACAACAACACAACAACACAACAACACAACAACACAACAACACAACAACACAACAACACAACAACACAACAACACAACAACACAACAACACAACACAACACAACACAACACAACACAACACAACACAACACAATACACACACACACACATACACACATACACACATACACACATACACACATACATACATACATACATGCACACACACACATATGCACATGGAGACAGAAACATATCTATTTTATCTCTACATGTATGACGCATGTAAGTACGCATGTGTGTATTGCAATCGGGCACACGTAAGGACTTGTGAGTGTGTGTGCCTACTTGCACACATGACACATTTACATACTAGCATGTAGGATCCCGAGGCTTTGATGTTCAACTCCGCCTTTTTGATCTCCAGGCGGCAACATCCCAAACTACAGTTACAAGAAGTGGATGGCCACTTACGCCCCAGAGCCTCGGCGAGTGGCACTTGATGCCGATTCCAGAAAGCCAGCTGTGGGTGACGGGGGCAAGGTTGGAGGAGCTTGTCCGGACTTGACTACTGTGTGTGTGTGTGTGGATGTTGATGCTTTTAGGGCGCGCTAGCGCAACCACAGATGTTGACAAACTTGATGGTGCAAGCTGCCCAAGCACATAGAAATTTCCAGGAATACGGGATGTACCTGAAGGAAGAGAAGGACGTGAGGCAGGCGAAGGTGGACATCCGTGACATGTTGAAGAGCTATGCTTTGGCGGATGATGTGGATCGCAAGGCGGGGCAAATGATGCACCGCTGCATTGCCTCGGGATGGTTTTAGGTCGTATGTGTGGTAAGTCAGTTTAATACGGCATGCATGGACAGGTTTCAGCTGCGCTCTAGTCATTCGCACTTGTTTTCCCAAAGGCGCACGGCCTTCGCGCTGCCTTTTTTGTCTTTTTAAAGCGCCAAGGCCAAGGTCCTAAGGCTTTGGTTCAGAGGGGGCGTGCCAGTTGGAGGGCGGGACCCCAGGTCCCGGGTGGGAGTTTGGCCAGGAGAGGCAGGCCTTGAGGCCGCTGCTCGCCGGGGGGCCCAAGAAACCACCTGGCTGGGCAGCTCGTGAGAAATTCCACCAGACTTTTTCGGTGTCCCAAAGGGTCCCAAAGGGTGGGGTTCCTTGGCCAATGCAAAAATGGGGGGGGGCCTCCGGCTGATGGGCGGCATGGGGTATGTGGCATCAGGCACTCGCAAGGCTCGCGATAGTGAATCAGAGCCCTTGCGAGTGATTTTTTGCTTTTCAATGTATGCCGGATCTTTGGTACCATCCCATCAGAAGCTCCAGCGCTTTCGGCACAAAGATTGCTGCAGGTTTGGTTCTTTGGAGGCTTCCTGGCCATGGATGCCCTTCGGTTCGTGGCGTTTTGTCTCAAGCTAGGGCGCCAAGTCGCTTTTTGAACTTAGAGCCTGAGGCGTCGGCAGATGGCGACCTGGCAGAGACCTAGTTGGACTGGGAGCCTGTGGTCGGAGATTTCTTTCCGGGGCCCCGCGACTTCTTGGGGTGTTGGTTGGGTCCTGGCCCCGAACGATTGGATGTGCGCAGTGTAGCTTTGAAGGGGTGCGGGCCCACGTGCTGTCCGGCCATGAGACTATGTGCTGCAGCCAAGTGGCAAAGCGGCTAGGGGCATTCCCAGCGATTGGCACCCCACCCCACCATATTCCATCATCCTGTCAAACCGGATGGTTACCCACTTCACAATAGCTGGATCAAGAGCAGCCATCCACGCTGGCAAAAACTCCGGAGACCTTGAATTTTCCAGATCCGCAATGAGGGATGTGGCAATCTTTGATCTTTTGAGGGCACGGCAAGAACCTCTTGTTCCCCCTCCCCGCCCTCCCTGGCGGCGACCGAGCGACCGAGCGACTGAGCGACCGAGCGACCGAGCGACACGCCATGCTGCACGCGGGGGCGCGGACGACCACTTGGGATCGCCCGCCGCTGTCGGAGGGCCTGGCACGTCCCTTGGCCTGTCGGGCGCGGATCGCGGATCGTGCGGGCCTTGACCCTTGACCTGGGGCAGGGCCTTTTTTTCAGCAGTGTTTCTTCACGTCCCGCCTTTGGGTTTGAGTCAATGCCAACTTGATGTTGCACATGTCAGAGCTCCGGAGTTTTTCATGAGAGAAGTTGTTATTCCGCGAATGTTGGCTGTGCACTGCCCCCACCAAAGCTTCAACCCGGAACGGGTGCCACAAATCCATCTGGGCAACTTTACTCGAGGCATCCCGGGAGGCAGTGAGGTCAACAATGGGCAGTCAGGTAAACGACTGTGGCAACAAGAGCCAGGGGATTCGCCTCCCGCAGTCGCAAACATGACGACCTGCACAAGTGGTGTGTTTACCCCTCCTGCACGTGTTGGAAAAAGCATCCACTCGCTTTGAAAGCTGTTGGGGCTCCCCTGAAGGGAAGTCTTGCCAAAGCAGGACCCCCCTCTACTTTAGCATAAAGCCATGCAAGGTATTCGTTCACCAACGAAAGATGAATTTTGTGTAAGGAGGAAGGCAACTGCCCCCCCCCCCCCCCACCTCTGGGCTCGTTTGCAGGCACCGCGACGCTGCTGGAGTCGGCGCGCGCCACGCCGCTCGCGTCCCAGGGCAATCTGGTGACCGAGCGCGCAGATAGCTCGGGCATTCCGGGGCTGGTACCTCGGCCCCCGGCGCAGGCGGGGCATCTGCGCAGGCGAGGCGGCCATGCGCAGAGTCTCTCCAAAATGCCAAGCACACCTGTGCATGTGTTTCTGTGTTTGTTTCTCTCTTTCCTTGTTTCTGTCTTTCTATGTTTTTTTTTTGCTTCTTTCCTACTTTATTTCTGTCTTCCTTTCTTTCTGTCGTCCTTTCTTTCTGTCTTCCTTCCTTTCTGTCCTTTCTGTCTTCCTCTCTCTCCGCTCTCTCTCTCTCCCTCCCTCCCTCCCTCCCTCCCTCCCTCGCTCGCTCGCTCGCTCGCTCGCTCGCTCGCTCTCTCTCTCTCTCTCTCTCTCTCCCCCTCTCCCTAAACAACACACCCTGCTTGACATCACAGCCATTGCTCGTCAGGTACCGCCTACAAGACTTCGCGCGCTTCACCCGCTCGTGGCTGGGCAGGCGCCTGCGCTTGGGTTTGGCGTGGGAGGGGGGGGAGGGTGGGGGGTGGCCACCCAGTGCTGTTCCAATGTTGCATGGTTGAGGGCTCCAAAGTTTTTGGGTTGTTCCTGAGGGAAGCCAAAGGGCAGACAAACCATATTTTCCCTTGCGCTCAGATGGGGGCGGCCGGGCCGGTGCCGGCAGCGCCGGTGCCCGTGCCGGCATATAAACCCGTGCTGCGTTCTATGGGCACCTGGAGCGAGGCGCCAGAGGCGATGGCGACGCCGTGGTGGCTTGGATTTACGGGGCGGCGATAGCGGTGAGAGTGGATTCTGTAGCCTCAGCACAAAGTTCTATGATCAATCAAGCCCTGTCCCTTGGCCCCTGCCTGAACCCTTGGCAGGAGGCAAAAACAGGTGGCACATCCAGGATTTGGAGCGTGCCTGCAGTGCTCAAAGCAAAGGCCTTTTGTTGTGCCCCTCAAACTCTAAACTGGGCGTGTCATCTTTTAGGGGACCTCCGAAATGATGGTTCTCCTCGTGCCCTCACCAAAAGGACACGCTCAGCTGTTCGTTGCTCGCGTGAGGCCCGGGAAGGATCGGCCGCCGCTGGAGCGGCTGGGCACTTGGAGCCAGGCGCCGCAGGCGCCGCTTACAGAGCTGCCCCAGCTAGGTTTTTTTTAAGAGGGAGCCCTTTTTGTAGCTACCAGTTCGGTAAGGACATGGTAGTTTCTCCAGCTTTGGTGGGCCACTGAATCTGTAGCGGGTTCCTCGGCCACCTGTGGGGCCCGCTATTCAGGGGTTGGCAAGGCAGCTATCAAAGCCGCCGAAACGGGAGCCTCTAGGGCAGGCAAAACAGGTTCCAGGATGAGCGCCAGCGGTTCCCGAGAAGCCGACCCTTTCGGCCGAGTCCCCTCGTCGCTTTTCCCGGACGGAGGCCGCCGTGGAAGGCTGGCGGCCGGTGGCCTATCAAGCGGCTTGGCGAGCGCGTGGCGCCGACAAGGTGTCGTTCCGCCGGTGGATTCTCTGCCAGCGCCAACAAAAAAGACAGCCCTCATGGGCCAAAATCCCGTTGGTCCACAGAAGCCAGGGGGCCTAGGAAGAACAGAATGGTAGGCTGACCTGTCATCGTCGCATCGAGGACTGGGAGTTGCATAGCCTTCGCTGAAGCGAAGACAGGCAACAGCAGGCCTCATCACTTGAACAGCCCTGCGAGGCCATTACTGGCTAGCCCGCTGGAGGTTAATTACATCCTGTCTGTTTGGGATTGTCATCGCCTGTGGAACCAGGCATTTTGCTTGTTGCTGCCTTGGGAACGGCGGCTTGCGGCTTGAGGTGGTGATGCCTATGAGGCAGGACAATGGGGCATGTTGATGGAAGACGCTTGCAGACGGCGGGTGGGATGGGGGCCGTGGAGAGCTTGCGTTGTCCTTCAGAGCTTGCGTTGTCATTCAATACCTTCTTACCACAAGTCCAACAACAGATATTGATGCGTTGTCATTCACACGTTGTTGTGTTTATTGTTGCGTATGTACTGTACGTTGATCTAACTGGGATTGGGAGAACTGCTGCACAAAGGTTGAATTCGTGCATGACCAACTGTGGCCTAGAAAGCTTTGCGAATGCCAGCAAATGCTAGCCTTCGGCCAGCATGGACAACAGCCGATCCCGTCTACGAGAAGGAATGATCTATCATCTTCATCCTGCCGCAAAGGTGGCAGGGTGCAACTGCTACACATGTGGCTGTGGGTCAAAACCAAAGGTACCATTCTGGGGTAGGTGAATTGACCACCCATTTTAGGACCTGTTTTAGTGGGGATTGGGATGCTCACTGGGGGTACGGGATTTTGACCCATGGACATGTCTGCCAACATCAAGTTTTGCTGCAACTGACGTGCATGACCATGCCAACTGCTTCTGACAAAATCGAATTTGCCAACGTGGCAGAGCCCTATGGGCATGGTATCCACATGACTCGTTTGTCACAACGTCCCTGCGCAGGGAAATTGATTGTCAAGGGTCTGCAGGCAGGTTGTAACTAATGTTGACCCGGATTAATAAACCCCTGTTTATTAATATGGGGGTGTCCCTGGTTTTAGTGGGGATTTATCACTTTTGGAGGCGACCACCCCCATATGAATAGACAGGGGTGTATCAATCCGGGGTCAACATTAGGTCTTGTTGAGGTCACAGCTGGCTGGTGGACCAAATCTGGGCGTCGGGAGAACTCGCGCATTGCCAGGACCGCGTCCATTCCTCTCCAGCGCGCGGACTCGTCAGCCGTTCCAGCGGGCCAGCACCTTGGACGTGGACCCACATCCAAGTTGCCCTGCCTGGCTTTGTCAATCCAATGTTGGCTGCGGACGAAGGGAACCCCTGTGATTGGTGTGGTCCACTGTGATGGGCCTATGGGGGCTGAACTGCCACATGCCTGCTGCCGGTTTCTGTCGCACTTCGGACGGCTGAAGCACGAGTCACTGCATGGAAGCCCCGTTGCACGACCGTTCAGCTATGATTTCAGGTGACTGAGATATGATTGGCCATTTTGCGTTGTGCCTTCAATCATTCACCTATCTGCAGCTTTTTGCCGTCCTTGGCGCAGCATCGAGTAGGTGTGCAGGCGAGGTGCAATCACCGGACTCAAAGGTGGGAGGTGGGGGCCAGTGGCCCCAACTTTTTCTTCCAAGGAATGCGCCGGTGCAGCGCGCTCCCGCGCCTGCGCTGCAGCGCGCGGCCACCGTGACGGTGGCGGAGCTGGCGGTGCAGGCGGCGCAGGCGCCGGCGCCGGCGCCGCCTCGTCTGCTGCGCGCGGGGACGACACTGGAAGGGGCTCCTGGCGCGCTGCTGGTCCGTTCTGGGACAGTAACTCTGCCAGGAGGTTGGGTGGAGTGTGGCCGCGGCGGAAGAGGGGGGGGGGAGGCGGTAGGTAGGGATGTCACTTGAGTGTGTGCCTTGTCTTCACGGCTTTGGGATCCAATTTCTTGACCACCTTCGTCAACTCCAAAGGTTGGCTGGTGGTGCCGCGGTCGACGCTGTGCACCATGCCAGGCCTCCAGGTGTTGAGACCCGCTCCGGTGACGCCTTTGCCGTCGGCGGCGCCCACAAGTACTGCGGTCCCGGCAAAGGCCGCGACGCCAGCGCAGGCGACGGGGTGCCTGGCCGGGATGTGAGATGCCTGATTGGGCGCTTGGGCGGAGATGCCTTGCCATGATCTGCCACTCATGCCTGAGCAGCGTTTGCGGCGAAAAATGTGTTTCTTTTCAGCCTCAAGATGCTCTGGTGACTGCCGTGTAAGTTGGCATCAAGTCCACCCAGGCTGTCTTCAATCTCGAGGAGGAGTTCAAACTAAATTTGGAAGTGAATATTATC